GAAACACTGTCAGATATAGTGCCGGAAAATGAGCCCCTCAAGTTGGAAGGCACTCAAAATGTGACTGGGGAACAGCTGCCTCCTCAAAGTAGACTTGACTGCGATGACACGAATGGAGTAAAGCCCTTGGGCTTCATCTGCTGATGGGGCACAACTCAAAATGACGAGAAACAGCTGTAAACATCCATTAATAATCGAAACAAAGTATGAATCTAGGAAAATTTGAAGTTGTCAAAAATGAAATGGAACACATTAAACATCAATATCTTAGGCATTAGTGAGCTGAAATGGACTGGTATTGGCCATTTTGAATCTGACAACCACATATTTACTATGCCGGGAATGATAAATTGAAGAGGAATGGTATCACATTCATCATCAAAAAGAGCATATCCAGATCAGTCACAAGGTAGGTACAACGCTGTCTGTGATAGGATAATATCCATGTGCCTTCAGCGAAGACCAGTTAATACCACTATTATTCAAATTTTGCATCAACCACTAAAGCCAGTGAGGATGAAATAGAAGAATCTACCAACTTCTTCAATCTGAAATTGATCAAACATGCAATCAAGATGTATTGCTCATTACCGGTGATTGGAATGCAAAGGTTGGGAGCAAAGAGGAAGGATCAGTAGTTGGAAAATATGGCCTTGGTGATAGAAATGATAATGGAGATTGCATGATAGAATTCTGCAAAACCAGTGATTTGTTCATTTCAAATACCTTCTTTAGAAAGCATAAGAGATGATTATACACCTGGACCTCACCAGATGGAATACTAGAAATAAAATAGATTGTGTTTGAGGAAAGAGAAGTGGGAAAGCTCCATATAATCAGTTAAAACAAGGCCAGAGGCAGATTGTGGAACAGACCATCAATTGCTCATATGCAAATTCAGACTGAAGCTGAAGAAAATGAAAACAAGTCAAAATATGACCTTGACTATATCTCACCTGAATTTAGAGATCATATGAAGAACAGATTTGATACATTAAATACTAAAGACCGAAGACCAGAAGAGTTGTGGGATAACACCAAGATCATCATACAGGAAGAAAGCAAAAAGTCATTAAGAAGACAAGAAAGAAGGACTAAGTAAAAATGGATGTCAGAAGAGATTCTGAAACTTGCTCTCCAGCATAGAGGTGCTAAAGCACATGGAAGAAATGAGGAGGTACAAGAGCTGAACAGAACATTTCAAAGGTCAGCTCAAGAAGACAAAGTTAAATATTACGATAAAATGTGCAAATATGGAGTCAGAAAACCAAAAGGGAAGAACAGTTCAGCATTTCTCAAGCTGGGAGAACTGAAGAAAAAATTCAAGCCTCGACTTTAGTTATCCATATTTGCTTTCAATGTAAGAAACCAAAAATCTTCACAACTAGACCAATAAACATCATAATAAATGGAGAATAAATTGAAGTTGTCAAAAATTTGATTTTACTTGGATCCACAATCAATTCTCATGGAAGCAGCAGTCAAGAAATCAAATGATGTATTGCATATAGAAAATTTGCTACAAAACCAAAGATGTCACTTTGAGAACTAAGGTACACTATGCTATTTTCAATCGTCTCATAGTTATGTGAAAACTGGACAATGCATAAGGAAGACTGGGGAAGAATTGATGCATTTAAATAATGATGTTGGTGAAGAATATTGAAAGTACCATGGACTGCCAGAAAAACAAACATATCTGTCAGAATACTCCTTAGAAATGAGATGGCAAAACTTTTTCTCAGGTACTTTGAACATATTATCAGAAGGGCCTGTGCCTAGAAAAGGACATCATGCTTGATAAAGTAGAAGGTTAGTGAAAAAGATGAAGACCCCCAACAAGATGGATTGATAGCAGTGGCTGTAAGGATGGGCTCAAACATAACAATTGTAAGGATTGCTCAGGGCTGGGTAATGTTTTGTTCTGTTTTGCATAGGATTATTATGAATCGGAGCTGACTTGAAGTCACCTAATAAACAGCAATAAAGATTCTGATGAAATTTCCTTCTTCAGAACCGTTGAGGGACTGTTGGTGTGGCAGTGTGGGATAAGCACTGAACTGCGAACTGCAAGGTCAGCTGTTCAAATCCACTGCTACTCCTCAGAAACCCTATATGGAGGTCACTATGAGTCAGAACCAACTCAACAGCATACAACAACAAGGACTGTTGAAGTAGATGAGAGTTCTATAAGAGGTGGCTTAATTAAAGATGTATTTGTAGATAGGTAGAAGTGCTATTGTTTGCTAACGGATCTTTGCAACCCAGGAATTGTATAGGCATTTGGTTCAGCTCACTGCAATCAGTCACAGACTCAGTGAATCATCATTCTGCCTGCATTTTCTGAAGTTTCTGGGTAATTTAATGATTAACTTAATTACTATAATGCCTAACAAGGAATTCACACTTGCTCTTCACAGTTTATTTTTGAGTTTTGTTTTGTTTAGTAATGGGAATGGCACCGGCCCACTTATTTACTTATCTATCCTGGTGTGGCACTGCAGGATAAGCACTCAAACAAATGGTTGGTTTGAACAGCAAGGTTGGCAGTTCAAACTCACCAGCCGCTCTTTGGAAACCCTATACAGGATCACTATGGGTTGGAACCCACTTCATAGCACTTAATAATAACAACAACATTTATTTTTAATTATGTCTATTTAGGTTTAATTTAAGTAAAGGAAAACTTATCTTATTTAGTGTATAGCTTTATGAGTTTTGACAAACACATAAAATGTTTATCAAATAATCAAGAAGTTCTGTTTATTTGTGTCTTGCTTGAGGAGGGAGAAAATGCTACCATGAGATGAAGAGCAAAAGGTAAGTAACTTTGTCAGATTTTTGTGTTAGGTTAAGATTTGCCCAGAATTATTGTTGTTAAGTGCTGTCACGCCAGAATTGTTGTTGTTAAGTGTCGTTGGGTTGATTCCAACCCACTGCGACCCTGTATAGAGTTTCCAAGGAGCAGCTGATGAGCTTGAACAACCAACCTTGCAGTTCAAATGACTTTTCCATTTGTGCCCTCTCAAATTAAATAGATGGAACTCACCTTGTCAACCTTGCTTAGTACTGGCTTAATATTGACCCGACCAGGTCCTTTTAGAATTAATTTTATTGGTTCACACTGGTCTTTTGTAGCATTATGTGTGGAGGAAGAGAGGAGTCAATTATAAATGATTTTAAGATTAAGACATGGAATGTGATGTGTACTACATTCCATTTTGTTTTACTCCACTGGTAAAACATTTTAGGAGTCCTGGTGTGGCGCTGTGGATTAATGCACCAGACTGCAAAGCTGTTTGAACTACAAGGCTGGTGGTTCAAGTTCACCAGCTGCTGCTCATACACCCTATACAGGGTCGCTATGGGTCGGAGTCGACTCGACGGCACTTAACAACAACAACACCATAATAAAACATCTGGGACTCCTAATTATATTCAAATTATGGCAATCATAAATTCTGTGTTTTCAGATATGTTTCATTTCAAAGAGTTTATCCTGTGTTTCTGTAAATAACATATACCAAGGCCACATGGTTTGAGTTTTGGTTTGGAATATATAATCACTGTAATAAGCATCATGGAGAATCATTTGGTAGGGAACTTCACTTCGTCTTACCCTGTATGAAGTGTTGAAACAGGCATATACTAAATGAAGAATCATGGTTGGGCTGTGCCTAAGTAATTTTGAACATCTTAAAGAGATGAAAACTGTTGAGTACCTGCTTTGTATTATGTCTCTATTATGCTATTTTTGAAAGGAGTTCTGGTGGGGCAGTGGTTAAGTATTGGTTATTAACTGAAAGACTGGCTTTTGGAATCCACCAGCAGCACCTTAGGAGAAAGATGTGGCAGTCTAATTTCATAAAGATTACAGCCTTTCAATTTTATGACAAAAGAAGTATAAATTGTTGAATGGGAAATGAATTTGTTCTGTAAACTCTCACGCAAGATACAATTAAAATGAAAAAAAAAGATTACAGCCTTAAGAACTCAATGGGGCAGCTCTACTTTGTTCTGTTGAGTTAATTGATTCCATGACAAGGAGTTTTGCTTTTGGTTTGGATGCTAATTACTTTCCATACTGACAGCTGCTCTGGGTAGAATCTCACCCCAGATCTAATCACCACTTTAAAAAAAAAAATGGGGCCTACTTGTCATGGCTGCCACAATCTCTATAAAACCCTGGTACCATAATTACGTTAATAGAATCTCAGGATTTTGAGGGATCTTTGAGGTCATCTAGTTAGAAGGGGTGCAGATGTTCATAGAATTTGAAAATCACAACGCTCAATTCTCTCAAAGGAAGGTGAAAACGTATCTGGGGATACAGTCTCCATAGGTTGCAATCACATAAAAGATGGGGCAATTATAAGCAAATGCAAAGCTTGAAATATATTCCAGACTGGATAAGAAAAATATGAAGAAATATGGTTTAATGGGACCCTCAGATAATATGAAATAAATAAAAAGAACTGGCAGAGATGCAATGAGAGTCCCTTATATTCAAGCTAAAGTGCACCGATTAAGACAGGTAAACCCCAAAGACTTCTCATTTTCTTAGGTTTCACCATCTCTCAAGTATTTTCTTGGCCCTTTTATTAGGGAACCGGAACTTCTTTTTTCAACGGAAGGTAGTGAGTGAAAGGACTTAAAGGTGAACGAACGATAGAAAGCAAGTAGCGATTCTCATTCTCATATGTCTGAGCACTAATAAATACAGTCCCTCCTATATTTCACGTCTTTACAAGGTCCCTTCGGTTCAAGGATACTGTCATTCTATGATTGTACTAGGGGGAGGGCCTGCAACGTCCATGCTGCCATGGAAACGCGCCGCCGTGCTCCCTTTTCTTACGTGGGGCGGGGGACCAGCCTCAAACACCTATCACACACAGGACCTCTTGAGTGGCGGGGAGCAGCAACAAATGGGCGATCCGATACTGTGTGACGTGACGGGAAAAGGGGGAGTTCGCGGCCGGCGGCGGCGGTAGAGACAGCGGCGACCTGGGGAACGTGCTGGAGGGACCTAGGGAGCGTGCAGAGACCTCTAGCTCGAGCGTGAGGGACCTCCCGTCGGGATGCCTGGTACTGTTTGGTGAAAAGTGGGGTTGATGTCAGCTCGGAGGGGTTTGGTTTCCTCTCTGAAGGGATAGCTGACCGGAGGGGGCGGGGTGGCAAGCATGGCGGCGGTGACGGGGAAGGGGTTGGAGGGACCTGAGGAGGGGGTGGGGTAGCCTTAGCTAGGAAGACTGGGTGGTCGTGAGGAAGCGTGAAGGGCTCTGAGGATTCTGGGGAACAAATTTCGAAGCGGTCTTTTTAGGGGCAGCAGAGGTGGCCGAAGGACGCAGGAAGAGTTGTAGGGGTTAGAAAAAGGGGCGGGGAGAGAACAGGTTAGGAAGGAGGGAATGGGGTATCTACGTGAAGATGTTGGAAAATAAGAGGGAGGGTGGGATGGGCAGGCTGAGTGTAAATAACTTGGAAATGGGTGCTTGCGAGGTTTGGTAAGAATGTGCTTGCCACGATCATAAACATAATGTTCTATCTAATCGGAGGAGCCCTGGACTTGTCCCCTTATACTTGAGCCCATTATTTAAGCAGAGACTGCGTGAGAAACGCTCTTAGGTTACTCAGAACTGATCTTTTGTTATCCTATTCCAGGGGAGCAGATGGACCCTACTGGAAGTCAGTTGGATTCAGATTTTTCTCAACAAGATACTCCTTGCCTAATAATTGAAGATTCTCAGCCTGAAAGTCAGGTCCTAGAAGATGATTCTCGTTCTCATTTCAGTGTGCTGTCTCGACACCTTCCTAATCTACAGACACACAAAGAAAACCCTGTGTTGGTAAGTGGTATCTTGTTTGGAAATGATGGGACAGATTTCTTTTTTTTGTGTGTGTGTTTAATCTAGACCATCCGGTACACCTAAGTAATTAGGAAATTTCTCTGTGTTCTGGATAAAGTTATTTGGAAAAATAAAATCAGCACATTCACTATACATGGACTAGTTCATATATTTTTGTTGTTGTTAGGTGCCATCGAGTCCATACCGACCCATAGCGACCTTATGCACAGCAGAACGAAACACTGCCTGATCCTGGGCAAACCTTACTACTGTTGCCACGCTTGGGGTTATATATAGTGGAGATTATATATGTGTGTTTTTTAGGATGTTGTGTCCAATCCCGAACAGAAAGCTGGAGAAGAACAAGGAGACAATAGTGGGCTCAATGAACACTTGAAAGAAAACAATCCTGCAGGTGAGATGTTTAAAGGGCTCTCAGTGACTTTTGCTGTATCAGGTGCTCTTGTTGGAGCTGGGTGTGGCTGTGGTGAACATACTTAAGGAAGTCTAGTGCAGGATCTGGTTCCTAGTAAGTATTGCTAAGGTTGATGTTCTAATATAGCTGATAACATTGGTATTATCTATATTCCTGGATTTGTATTAAAATATCAGGGTAAATTTTTTTTTTGTACTAATATTCAGCCGTTTGTTTTTAGAACCTACGGATTCTCTTCATCTGGACACATGTGGTTCCATCAGTCAGGTTATTGAACAGTTGCCTCAGCCAAATAGGACAAGCAGGTATGCTAAACTAAAGTTTAAGGGAATTTATGTAAATTTATTAATGAGCAGTTCTGTCTTTTATCTGTACCTGATGCCTCATCTCAAGGATAAAGGGAGTTCTTAGGGATTGGGATTTGAGGATTATATTAGGTTTTTTTTTTTTTTTTTAGTAGTGCTAATAGATGGAATTGCTTTATTGAAGCTAACTACATTCCAGTTGTGATCTAACATGTATATTGTGAAAGAAAACAGGTATTGTTTATGCTTAGCGTAGCTATGACTTCATTTTTGGTACTTTCTGATACTGGTATAAGATCTCAGAACAAAGCTTTCTGGTCACACTTTGCCCTTTTGAGTATTACTAGAGTAGTACTATGTTTGATTTAGTTCAAGCAATTATATAAGTTTTTATTAAGTTAAATATTTAGGTCTGTTATCAAAATTATTAGGCATGTTTTCCTCCTGTCAACTGAGACACCTTACTAGTTTTGGATCCATAATGTGTAATTCATACCTGTACTAGTGTTCAACTTTTATTATGTTTTGTACCCTGGTGGCATAGTGTTTAAGAGTTCAACTGCTAATGCAAAGGTGGGCCATTTGAATCCACCAGGCCACTCCTTACGAGAAAGATGTGGTAGTTGGCTTTCATAAAGATTGATTTTTGGATACTCTATGGGGCAGTTCTGTTGTATCCTATAAGGTGTCTATGAGTCAGCATCTACTCAGTGGTAATGGGTTTCGTTTTTGGTATGTATATCTTTACCAGAAAAACAAAACTAAACCAAACCCAAACCTACTGCCATCTAGTCGATTCCAATTTCTAGTGATCATGTGTAGGATTTCTAAGACTAAATCTTTACAGGAGCCGATAGCCTAATCTTTCTCCTAAAAAGTGCCTGATGAGGCTAGCAGCTCAGTAGTTCTTCTTGTACATCTTTATAATGTCCGCTTGCTGAGTTCATTCTCTGTTAGGTATTGTATTGGATATTTAACATATTTGTTGTTAAGTGCTGTCAAGTCAGTTCTGACCCATTGTGACCCTGTATAGGGTTTCTGAAGAGCAGCTGGTGAGCTTGAACCGCTGACCGTGAGGTTCAAACCGACCTTGCACTCCCATGCATTAACCCACATAGCCACATCAGGACTCCATTTGACACATAAGTTTACTTAATTCTATCTTTCAAGCAATTATACAATAAAGGGAGTCCTGGTATGGTGCAGTGGGTTAATGTACCAGACAGCAAGTTTGGCGGTTCAGGCTCACCAGCTGTTACTTGGAAATCCTATACAGGGTCACTGTGGGTCGGAATCGGCTCGACAGCAATTAACAACAACAATGAAGACATGATATTTCTACTCTATAGATTGGTACAAATAGTTAATGCACTCAGCTGCTAATCAAAAGGTTGAAGTTTACAGTCTGTCCAGAGGCTCCTAGGAAGCAAGGCTTATGGATCTGCTTTCATAAAATCAGCTATTGAAAACTCTACGAAGATCGAAAACCTTCTGGAGTACCGTTCTACTCTTAACACACGTGGGGTTGCCATGAGTAAGAATCCATATAATAATAACTTGTTTTTTACATAGGGCAAAACTGATGGGAAGAGAAATTAAATAATTAGCTCTGAATACATGACTAGTAAGTGACAGAGCCAGGCTTTGAAGTTGGTTTATCTGATTCAAGTGCCTGCTTTTTCTTTTTTACTTACTATCAAGTGCTTCTCAAAGTCTCCGGCCCAAATCCTCTTAAGGTTAAAGGAGAACATAAACAACTTCAAGAATCTTGTGGATACAAAGGAGAGATAGTCAGAGAGGAGAATGGTAGTAGCTTGCAGTTGTTTTATCTCAGTAGACATTTGGGGCTTTTTTTTTTTTTTCTTTTCCGTTTTCTTTTTGCATTTTATTCTATGAGGGGCCTTCAAAGAATTTGTTGAAAAATTCCTTTGTCTTTTAATTCCATTTTCCATGAACTTTTTTGAAGTCTTCTTGTATACTTTGTGTTTATTTTAATATAACTGTTAATTCAAAATCATTAAGTAAAACTGATGCTTTAGAATAGTCAGTTAATTGGTGGTGTGATTTTGCCTTCCAGGTGGGATTTATTACAACCATGTTGTTGTTGTTAAGTGCTGTTGAGTCAGTGCCGATCCATAGCGACCCTGTACAGGGTTTCCGAGGCTGTAAATCTGTAAATCTTTACGGGAGCAGAAAGCCTCATCTTTCTTCCGTGGAGCAGCTGGTAGTTTCGAACTGCTGACCATGAGGTTCGCAGCCCGATTCGTAACCACTACGTTACCAGTGAAATAGGTTTTAATTATTTATTATTATGTTTTACCTAAAATCTAGAATTTGGTTCTGCCATTATGAGTCCTTACTGGCAATAGTTGGCTGAAACTATGAGTAGCCAGCCTCTGTTTAAATGGGGCATGAGTGGTATAGTTTGTCCTAGTTTTAGCAACACATTGTATGTGGACACTGAGGCCAGATATTCTTTGGTCATTATAGAGCTGTGCTTTTGTTCTTAACATCCTCCTTATTCACTCATCTATGTTATCTCGCTTTGCTTTCTGTAGGCATTTAAGTTTACATATGAGATTTCTTTAGGAATATGTGGCAAACTAAGGAGATGTGGTATTTCCTTAGGCATTTGGCTACTAACTGAAAGGGTGGTGGTTCAAACCCACTAGCTGCTCTTTTGGGGAAAGATAAACCTGTCCATTCCCATAAAGATTCACAGTCTTGGAAACCTTGTATTGTTGTTGTTCTGTGCCCTGAAGTTGGTTC